CCGGTTTGTGTGCAGCCTGAGGATGCTCAGAGATGAACTCTTCTTTTGGGGGTGAGGGTGGGAGGCTTCTTGGCACCAGTGCAGCCACTGGCGTTGATTGGACCTGGGCTTCTGAAATGCAGGGTCCCTTTCTGTTGAATCTCTCCCATGAGTCCCAGCCACATCCAGCAAATTCAAAGGGAAACCACCTCTCAGTCAAGCCCAGGTGCACGAGGCCTCCAGTCACCAGAGGAAGGGAAGCGGGGGTTCGAACCTCTTGTTAGCAAAGAAACAATGCTTGCCAAATCAAGGGAAGAGCCCCTCACATTTGTTTTCCAAAATCACATATTCAGGACTCTAGGGAAGAGGGGGAATATAAAAAATGGGGGTCACTTTTCTTTTTGGAGTCTAGGGGACTGAGGCAGACACCAGGACACAAGCGTACAGAGGGGAGGGGACTTTGTGTCATGTCATAGGAGCTGCATCACCTTCCCCCCCTTCTTCCTGGGAGGGATGACAGAAACCTCTCCTGTCTTCCTAACACTCCTTCCTGTTGGAACAGCATTCTGGGAGATGAAGTCATTGGAATCTGGCCACGCAACGCAGACAAGGCTGATGTCAACTGCGCATGTGTGACCCACGCCGGCCTGAACATTGTCACCGGAGATGACTTTGGGCTGGTGAAGCTCTTTGATTTTCCATGCACAGAAAAATTCGTGAGTTTCCTCAGAGACCTCCCTGCACTACCTCCAGGCTCTCTTCTGCAGTCCGTGGGGCACGTGGTCACACCCAGGTCACCCTCTGGGAGATAGAGGCTCTCGTCCAGTCCTATGGAGACTTAGCAATGTCATCTCCCTCTGGAGGGGCAGTCTTGGAACCCAGGAAAAGGGAGGGGAGAGATAGGCAAAATGGCCAGAAGAGGGGCAGGAATGAGGCCGAGTCAGACAACGCTGGCTGACAGATGTGCAGACCAAAGGGGCCTCCCCCAAGTGAAGGAAGGTTCTGGGAGGTTTCGAGCCCTGGGAAGGGCAGGCCTCTTAGCTGTCTCCATGTGCTTTTGCTCACAGGCCAAACACAAGCGTTACTTTGGTCACTCGGCTCACGTGACAAACATCCGATTCTCCTACGATGACAAGTACGTGGTCAGCACTGGAGGAGACGACTGCAGGTACTAACCTGAGCCGTCTGTTTGGGCTCCCCTCCCCAGGCGCCCTCGGGCTGGCCTCTCCCGGGGCGGGGCAGGGTCAGTGTGGGAGTGAACGGGAAACCCTGACTCACTATGGACAAGGCAGGCTCTCAGCCCCAACCCCCATGGGCCAGGGTCCCCAGAGACTGTGTTCGGACTGACAAGAAGCCAAGGGATGTGGCATGCACTCTGAGCGCTGCTGGGGAAAGGGGCAGGCCGGTGAGAGCCGAGATGGCCACAGCCATGGGGTCAGCGTACAAGTGGGTCAGAACAGAAATTCACCGGTGTCCTAAGAGGCAGGACTAAGCCACAGCTAAGTGTTTGAACAGACCACAGACATCCTAAGAAACACAGAGGGCAAGTGCTGGCCTGAGGTCACCTTTTAGGGCCAGGTGAGAGGTGACGCGGGCAGGCCCAGTGCTGGCAGGTGGCAGGAGGGGACCCCCATCCAATCATCTGACCCTGAGCTGGGGCAGGCAGCTCCCAACCTTGTGAAACAGTGCACTGCTCTGCGCGAGCCCAGCTGGGGAAGCTGGTACTGGTTTCCAGAGGCCCACCAGCCTGCCCCACAGATGTCCCTGGCCTCTTCACTGTCCTGGAGTCAGCAGCTCTCTTCTCTCTCACAGAGGCATTCCTTAGCAGTGGAGAACGAGACGGGGCCTAACTCACGGGTCTCCCAATGTGGTGGGAGGGCGTGACGGCAGCACAGATTCTGGCTTATGTTCGCCCCAAGGAAAACTCTGGGAAATAGGAGAAGGCAGTGCGTGCACGCTCAGATTTCTTGGTGCTCTGAGTTAAGGAGAAAGGAAATGTCAGTCTCCTTCCTTCTCAAAAGTATTGGGTAGGAAATGGCCAGGAGGATGCTTTCTGATGGCCTGGCTGGGGGCACCATCTCCAGCCTGCCGTGCCAACCACTGCTGGCACTCAGAGCCAGTGCTGACAGGTCCCCGTGGAGTGTAAACAGGGAGCACCAGACAGTGAACAAGCTAGAACAAGCAGCCTGTGCACACTGCTCACCCCAGCGTAGGAGATACGAGGTGAGTTCCATTCACTACAAAAAGCGTTGAAGATGAAAGTGCAGGCTCTGTAGGCCTTTGAGGCCTGGGAGTAGACCGTGATTCCTGGCTCTGTGCTAAACACTTGACGGGGCTCTCTGACTCAAGTGGGGCTGATAAAACCTTTTCAGTAGTAACAGGAGGGACCGCATCAAGTTGCCAAAAGTCCTCCCTGACCACATTCAGACATGTGAGCTGTGGAGTCAAAGCCCAACAAAACAAAAACAATAGGCCTTTCAAAATAGAGTAGACTTTTAATGGGTAGTAAGGTCTCTGGTTTGCTTTGTGAAATAAAAAAGATGTTCCATATGTCACCTGACCCTGACTTAACCTTGCAAGATTGTTTTTTGCTCAATGAAAACGTGATGTCCGCCACACGCCGTGACTGCCTGGTCTGCTTTTCCAGCGTGTTCGTGTGGCGATGTCTGTAATTGCCAGAAGCCTCTTACAATTTTGCTGCTGCTGCTACTGCCCAGCACTGCAGAGGCAGTGCCCGGCGCCTCCTCGCCACGGCTGCTGGGGAATGCCTACGATGCTGCTGTGGGGACGCACAAGCTCAAATGCTCCGGACGCGGTACCGCTCCGTAGTCTGGACACTCCAAAACTGTGACGCCGAGAAGGAAGGTCAGTTCTAAGGTTAAGACTGCTCGCCTCTGTTCCTGAGACTACACTACACTAACTACACTGACACGTCCTGACAATGTAGCCCACTGACAAAATTTCAAAGCCTCAGTTACCCTAACCAATATGTAGCTTTTAATTTGCATCAAAACTTTTACAAAAGATGTTTTGCTATTATGTTTCTATATACTTCAAAAAATGTTCATTTTTACAAATAAGTTGAGACAGCTTAAGTTAGATGCAACGGAAGTACTCCTAGAAATATTGATAGCCTCTGTTCTCCACATTTAGCTTTCAAAACCAAATGAGCCATGTATAAACGAGTTGAGAAAATTAATTTTGTAACATTTCATTTGCAAAGTTTTATATCCATTAAGTGCCTTTGAGAGTTTCCAGTTGTGTGGGCTGCTGCCTCACCTCCACAAATGATCTCCTTTTTACATCTGGTGCTAAAACTCAAAACTGAGGAGGCCTGCAGGACCCTTAGCAGATAGTCTGTCGCCTGTGTCCTGTGTCTGTGTCCAGCCTTCCTAAATGAAAGACACCAGTTACCTGCTTGGGAAATGTACTGGTTATAGGTGAGCAGCGAAGGAACTTGTGCTCAGGAGGGGCTAGATGGGCTTTCATTATGTTTAGTGCCAAACCTGCAAAATCCAAAATAGAATTCAAATAAGACAAACCTTTACTACAAAATGGGGGGTGGGTGGGGGGGTGTCCAGTAGATCCAGGAGGGTGAGCTGGTTTATCTTAGCCAATTTTAAAATGGTAGTAAATAAGGCACCCTGAGGCTGCACCTTGGTTCCTCAGCCCCAGAATAGGGTTGATTTGACTCTGTTCATTTGCTTCAGGTGAGCTAGCCCGGTCAAGTCCATATTAAAACAAATCTCTGTGGAACTCATTAGTTTAGAGGTCCTTGGAGCTGGAAATGTGACTTGGATAATATTAGCCAGAACCCATCCCTAAGCCCCACTGGTCACACTTCCCACACAGCCAGCCACTGACCACAGGATGGGGCTGACAGCGCCCACTGGAAGGAAGGTGGACAGGGACTGGGGCTCTGGTCACGTAGACACGAGTTAGTCCTCTAGTCAGGGAACTAAATTCTGATCTTGAGTTGCTGGCTATTTGTACTTGTCGGTTTAGAGAAAAGGTGAAATGAAGCATTTTCAACTAAAGAATAGATTAACATTTACCACAGAAGTGCTTCAGCATTCTCAATGGATTAGCTCACTCATTAAGCTATTTTTTATATGCCAACTTATTAATGCCTTATGTTAACCCACTCTAGGTTCTTGGGCCCACAATAGAGTCCCTGTGCAGTCCTAATTCTGTTTTCTGTAACCATGTGACTGGTGATGCTGAGTGATAACTATGTCTGCCTATATTGTACTTCTGACCTTTCTCACTGATTGGATCTTGCATTGAAATAACCGTAGGGAAGAACAATGAATTGATCAATGATGTGTACAACCATATTTAAAGAGCAATAGTGTCTGTGTCAAGAAAACTTCTTAAATCTTATTTGTAAACATTTATATGGTATGACTTTATGTATGTTCATAAATCCTGCACTGTATTCTACTATATGTTAAAATATTGGTGCATGAATTTATTTTCAGTTATCAAAATATAAAAATACATTATTTAAAGACATTTTGGTATGTGGCAAATAAATTTGATTATGTAAACATGTTCATCATTTGACATTTGTTTTCAAAGTAAACATCATGAGCTGGAAAACCTTTCTAGCTCAAATTACCATTCACTGGTTGAAGTAAAATCCCCGTTCAGTGTATACTATTCATCTGTGCAGTTCCGCAAAACCAAAATATCAAACACACTTTTAAGTCTATAAGCTTTATTGATACTTCGCTTTTACAGTTCACAAATGCATTCCACAGATTTAGTTCAGTACAGCTTAAACCACAATAGTATAAATCTTCATTTTGTAATTTCTTGCATAACAATGTTTGATATTTGCAAACGTTTTTGGAAGCATTAGAGTCAGTCCATAGATTCAGTTTGTGACAAAATTAACTACAATAAGTCTGTGCAATGAAGTTGATGTTGGAGTCCTATGTGCATGGCATTGTTTCACGTTGAAAACAGATGGTAGTGCGCCTAGAAATATAGTTTCTTTTTCTAGCTTATGTGCTTTGAAACTACACATGTATAACCAATGACTCTCTGAAATATCAAGCACTGTGGGGCAGCCGGAAGGTAAAGGTCTAAGCTTTGTGAAACACTATATATAGATATATATATATAATCTATATTTACTTATATTGGCAATTAATATAACAGTAAAATTCACAATACACCTAGAACATACCAGAAAGGCAAGGTTTTTCATCCCTGCTTTCATGGTATGATCTCGTCTAAACATTTCATTTCAGAAAATCTGCATCAATCTACACAGACCATACACAGTGCACAAACTGTGAAAAGGGTTATTTTTTTCAGCTCCACCGTCTCTGCAACTTTCCAAAATACAGCAAGACTACCTGCAACAAAGTGTAATATACAGCTTTCTCAGATCATTTATTCACCAGTGCTTCATAAAGGAAAAACAAGTATGATTACGGTTTAAATCCATACATAGCAGCTTACAATACTTAAGATGATGAACACATGGCAGTCAAGACAGGTCATTTTTCCTCAAACAGTGCTTTGCTAAAAATAAAGATCTGTGAAACTGCACTGCAACGTCAAGGGTTCATCATTCCCTGACCCTCCCCCATGTAATCAAATGAATATCCCCTTTAAAGATGAACTCCTACTGTTAAGTATCTTGGGCTTTTTCATTCAGCTTTGCGCTTCAATCCAGGGATTTTTGCTTGGATTCTACAAAGAAAAAGGAGAGAGATAAACGTCTGTGTAAATATTTTAAATTTCTAAGTATTTTGTTTTCTCCCTCTAAGATGCCACCCTAGAAGAAATGATACCCTAAAGTTGCCAAATTATAAAATATAATTTTGCAACCTGGGCCTCATGAATTAGATTTAAGCCCAGCCTTAAATACATATAGCAAACATAGAAATTTATGATCCAAATGTCAGTAACTATGACATTGCACTTATGGTCTAATGGAGATTTGTTGCCCATTATGCCTATGACAAGAAAATGTAATAATGCATTCTTTTACAAAATCCAGCACACCTTACCCTTAGCGCAAGCTGCAGTTTTTAAATACTTACTTAGCCATAGCATCTTTAACATTTTTATTTGCAAGTCCTAGATAGTGATCTATCTGTGCCTGAAAGAGATATACAATGGAGTTATTAGCTAGTTACCATTGCTAAAGAATCTTGTTAATCATTACTATGTGCCAACAAATTAAAGGCTTAAGAAACCATCACATTTCTCATTTTTATAAGGCTTTGGAAACTGGCACTGATGCATTTGTAAATCCCACACAATAGAGTGGGCTCTAATCTTGAAGTCAGCAGTTAAGAAATTACCTGATGCCGTTCATAAATAACAGGAACACTGAAGAGTGAAATTAGAGCTGCAAAGGGAAGAAGAAAAGAAAAGACTTGCATGTTTTAGGGAACAAACACGACCAAGCTATCAACTAGTTTAATAGAAGATACTCAGGATATTTTTAACGGGGGAATGAATACACGAGGTGCGCCTGGGTAGGTCTAATGTTCAGGCGACACTCCAGGAGGATGCATTTCACTGAGCACGGCTGCAGGAACCACTCCTAACTCCAGACCACATCACAGATTTTATAAAACACAGGAACTCCTGGTTAGATTTGTGACTGCACCCTCAGATGAGGCCGCCATTTATCTTATCTGGTTTATCACTGTTATTTGGAGTAGTCTTCAGGAACTGGAATAGTACTTCAATAAACTGAGTATTCATTTCAGCAACTTACTTGAGATTACAAGCTCAAACATACATCCTCTATTTTTCTTACAAATAAGAATATTCTCCACTAAATGTCTAAGTTCCTTGTCACGCAAGCTTTTTTTCTCTGCAACTTTTCTTTCCAATGGTTTGTTGACTTACCCAAAATCAGCAGTGTTAGACCATTGAACAAGGCACCAACATAGGTAAAGACCCACATCAACACTGCAAACTACAAGAAAACAACAGCCTATTAAAAATAAAATTCAACTTTCTTAATTAAGCTCCAAATAAAAGCATCCCATCAAAATGCAAACTTACTAGAAGCATATAACTTGAAGACTTAGTAAAATAACACAAACACTGCTAAGTCGCTGGTCTCGAGTCAGAATTTCAGAATCCTCACTGAAACAATTAATAGATTTGACCCACTTTCTTTAGATTACACTACCAAGTAGTTGATTCTATTTTCTCAGGAGAAAATGTACCTAAGACACACCTTACCTCTCCAGCTCTAAATTTCACTCCGATAGCATTTACGGTAAGACTGGAAAGTACTATAGCACTTACATCGTTAGGTGTTAAGCCATGTGCTACATGATGACATTTCAGTCAACGACATGCATCTGTGACTAGACTACACCGTATGGAGTAGGTACATGCTAAGCAATGTCGAGGTTGGTGTACACTCTGTGGCTCGCTCTACAACAAATCACCTAAGGACGCACTCCTCGGCACATGTCCACTCAGTTGTAGACTCTACAGGAGTACAGGCATAGGTTGTAGCAAATACTCCATTTTATATCAGAATTTTGAGGGCTTTGGATGTTGGTATCCATGGCAGGGGCCTAGGGTGGGGAGGGGCTAAAACCACTCTCCCTCAGATACTGCAGGACAACTGTACTCCTGACTAGGAAAATGAAGTTTCAAGTACCAAAAATATCACCCCTGGTACTTTAAGGATCAGGGACTGTTGGACCAGTTCTATGTATGTGTCTTTTGCAGGGAGGGATTCATTTTTAAGTTTTTGCCATATGTGTGTGCTTGCCAGAGAGATACGAGATAGAGACAGAGAGGGAAAGTGAGAAAGTGCCCACCAAAGGGGATGGCCATGCTACAATCCCTTGTGCTCCGTTCTCCTCTCAGGATTTTGGGCACTCGTGCACACGTGCCCTGCGTGATTTTCAAGCCACCTGCTGGGCCCCATGATATATGTTTTAACTGCCATGGGTCAACCCTGGCAATGACTCTTCAACACTTTTGTACCTATTAACAAACCTAACTATCACTATTCTTTTAGTCACTGTCTTTGTTATTTATTTAACAAACACTGATATACCTGCTGTGGGCTGGGCACTGTTTTAAAGCGTTACAAATACATGTTCATTTCTTTCTCTTAGCCTTATGAAACAGGCACGATTATCCCACAACCAGAGATGCAGACCTTCAGGAACAGATTATAGCAACTACAGATTTTACTGCTCCCTCCAGGGGCTGGGAGCCACAGTAAGCGGACTTAACTGCCCTACTTTAGTACTCCTGGTTTCAAATCTGGGATAGTTTTTAAATAATCAATTGCGGCAGTTTGGGAAAGACCTAGGTTCTAAAAACCTGTTTCATTTCCGTTCCTGTCCATACTTTATTCGGGGACAGACAGAGGATTTCAATGTTTTCTGCTAATTCTAAACTCTCCTGATATCACACAAAACTACAGAGGCTCAATGACATATTCAAAGCAGTTCTCAAAGAGACTTATAAGCACAAAGTCAGTCTTTATTTTATTAAACATTAATCAGCAGCAACGCCTGGGCCTAATTCAATCATTTCGCCATCATTCTGACCTATACAGCAGGTAGCAGACCTAGCACCATGATGCCTCCACCTACAGTGATTATTTAGGCATATACTGGGTTGTCAGAAAAGTCATGACCTATTTTTTCCATATTTATCTATCTGTCATGACTTTTTCAACAACCCAATATAACAGAGTATAAGTGAAAAAAGTAGTAAATATTTCAGGGTCACATAGAATCTCCATCATACATTCTCTGTTGTTACAACCCTTAAAAAATACAAACCACAGGGCCAACAGGTGGCAAAGTGATTGTGACACTGGACTCTCACATGGCCCACTGCAGTTCCAGTCCCAGACTCGGCAACTTGAAACTCATGCTGGGCGCGTGTGTGTGCGTGCCCAAGATCCCGAGAACAGAATGGAAGAGAAGGGATTATGGCGTGGCCATCCCCCTGGGGGGGGGGGTGATTTGCTTTCTCTCTCTCTGTTTCTGTGTCTCAGGCAAGTGCACTCGCCCTACATCAAAAATTTCTCATAAAACAAAACAAAACAACAAAACAAACCTGCCCTGTTCTGAGCAACTGCTATAGGAGTGGTAGAAAAATTTAAAGGATGGTTTCAGGTAGCCAACCTGTTCTCTCTCACAGAGCTGCAAAGACTCTTACTGCAAAAGCTAATTATAACTTCTGCACATGAGCAAATTACTATAGAGCAGAAGAGCTATTTTTAATCCACCACTGTCCACGAGTCAAAAGGGAAGAGTTAACCTTCAACATTTTAGAAGAAAGGGTTCTAAGCAATAAAGACACCTTTACTGAGACAGGATTCATACAGCTGCACATACACACGCTAAAATTAAGCACTAATTTGGTCATTAAAGTCACTGACAATGCTGCACTCCAAACTGACAAGGAGAGGCGGCCAAGGCTTCACACCTGGGCCGTCTAAGGGGCAAAACTGTCACTTGCTTCTTTGAGGACAATTTTCCTAAAAGCCAGGCTATCCAGGGGCAAAGAGGAACAGAGGAAGGCCTCAACTGCCCCTGGGGTCAGACAATGAGCAAAGATGCGTGAGAATGAGGCAAACTGTATTATGACTGACTCTCCCACGAGGCCACCCACAACCCAGCTCCGTGTACTATAGCCATGCAAGTACTCCAGATCGATGTTGCCAAATGTTACCATTTCTTTTTCTTTTTCTTTTTCTTTTCTTTTCTTTTTTTTTTTTTTAAGAGAAATTTTTGCTATAGGGTGCATGCACTACTGTGAAAGACTGAGAGACAGAAAGTGAGAAATCACCCCCGACCCCAGGGGATGGTCACACCGCAATCCCTTCTCCTCCATTATCCCCGCTGGGAACGCACGCACGCACATGCGCCCAGCATGAATTTTAAGCTACCCAGTCTGGGACTCAGACCACAGTCAACTATGTGGGAGAGTCCAGCAACGTAACCATTATGCATGCCATCTGCTGGTCCCCAAATCTTACCATTTTAAGGAAGAAACCGGAAATTTACATTTTTATGTACTACTAGAATTTGGGATCCAGAAGAAAAATATGGGGTAAGGGATTCCAGAGAACACACCACCAGAAAGGGTGCTGGCAATCACAACTAGCATCTCGGCAACTGCACAATTACTGGAGTTGTTACATCATAACAATAGCAGCTTTAAAAAAAAAAAAAAAACCCAAAGTTAAATACTAGTATTGATCCCAAAGAAGAGACAACCACAACAGAGAGATTAATAAGCAAGTTACTAGATCAGAGATCAGACCCTTCCAGATCCGCTCTGCATACTGTCAAGCTGTCTACAGAGGAACCGTCACTGAGGGCTCTGGCACGTCGTGCGTGCTGCCATAGACCAATAACAGCTGGGAGTAGGGAAGGGCTCTCAGTTTGGACCCATGGACTCTACCCCATTCCAAGGCAAATACCTCGGGACATTACAGTCACTGCGTACCAACCAACCGGGGAGGTCAAAGCTCATCTCTGCTTCGGGCGGTCATGAGACTAGAGGAAAGAAGCTGTACGCTGCGGTGATCTAACAAAGATACTGAAAAAGAGCAAGGGCCGTGTCTTGTTTGTCCTTCCAAGGAAATGAAGGGATTAAATTTAACCATGTATCACACACTTCATTACAGAGCTCTGCAGATTTATGGCCTCTCGCTGCAGGAAGAGGACATCTTTAAGGACAATTGAGAAGGGTGCCTAACAAAACTTCAGAAATTACCTGGAATTTCATAAAATTTCAAAAATTTTCTCCTCTTAAACACTGAAATGATCTGACTTTTTGGATGCCTTCAAACTCACTTGGTTAGTATTAATCTCTCTCTAAATCCCCAGTCCATTGTTCTTCTAATTTTTCTGTAAGCCAAAGATGCCTGAAAGAAAGCTCTAAATACATAATGTTAACAGCTGCATAAGAGCCTGACGGCGAGATGTTAATGCTCATCTGGGTCAGCTATTTCTGGAACTCAGGCGTTTTTTGGTTGGCTTTCAGAATTAAAACTGGATCGTGGAACCTTATGGCTGCCTGATGTTCGGACAACTACAGCTAGAAAATTTCTTACAATTTTAACATAATTTTTCACTGAAGTCACAGAACTATTATACAGACTATGGTCTTTATCATCTGAAGCCATACTACAGAAAATAACCTCTCCAAAAGCACCTGCTCTTTGTCCCTACTAAGTAAATATTAGATGATTTGGCGTTTCAAAAGGCAGGAACCCTCTAATAAATGTCAGAGCCTTAATGGACCCCGGAAGCTGAACACAGTAGAGTATCTCTAGTGCTCTTCTTTTCTAATTGGTGGTGGCAAGTGTATATGTGCATGGGGGGGGGAGGGGCGGTACAGTGGATTAGGGCCTAGAGTGTATAGCTTAATATAGACATTTTTTGAAACAGGGTAGTATCTCCAGAAAAATTCAAAACTTCAGAGGATGAGCCACTCCTACCTCTTCATCTCCCCAGCTATGGGTAAAGTTTACAGCTCCCGGGAGATTCCAATATGCAGCCAACAGTGGGCACCGCTGCTTTAAAACAAGAGCCCCCCATCCAGTGATCCCTTACACAGAACCTGAACTGTGCCTTAACTGTTCAACTATTCTACCATTTAACACCGCCAGCGTTTCTCTATACTCATTTGCTGGTGGTAATAGGTGTTATCTAAACAAGGTTGACAAATACCACTAGGTCAAATAAAGCTACCCAGTCCTCATCCAACCACTCAGAGATAATAACTGCATACACTAGATTCAGGAAAAGAATACATACGCAGCTTCTCAGTGTTACTAAAGAACATCCTCTTTTACTTCCCCTTCATTCATCCTCTTTCCTCTACACTCTGCCTAACACTTAACGGAACATCCCCACTTGAAGAAATACAGCCTTTACAGTGAATCTTGATTGTTTTCGTTGATCATTTCATTGTTTCAGGGCTTGTAGAGAAATTTTATACTATGAAATGTTTGAACTAAATTCTACTAAATGGAATTATAAATATTTGTCAGTTTTTAGCCCATACTATCTGCTAGGAAATAAGACTATTCCTCAATCTAGGGACACAAAGAATTTCTAGGATTTAGACATCTGTAGTTAATTGCAAAGTAGCATCAGATGGAATGATTACACAAAAATTTTAAAGGCTAAATCTGCAAAACATATTTTTTGTTTTCCCAAGTCAGTCAGAAGACCTAGACAGGCACACTGATTTCACATCAGGGCTTTAATAGTACAGATAGGCCTTTAAGTGTGATTATTTCTCTAATCACATATTAAAAAAATACAGGCTCCCCCCACACAATGCAAACAAGGTGACAGTACGGAGGTGAAAATGTTTCACAAGCTGGTAGAAGTGGCTCTAAAATTTTGGGGTTCTGAGGAATATAGCTTCAAATAGAAGTAGGGATAACTGTGGGACCAGCAGGTGGTGTAGTGGTTAAGGCGCTGGACTCCCACATGGCCAAATGCAGTTCGAGTCCTAGACCTGGTGGCTTGCTTTCTCACTTTTTTCGCTCTTCCTCTCTCTCTGTTTCTCTCTGGTCAAATTAAAAAATAATAATAAATAAATCTTTTAAAAATAGTAGGGATAATTGTGACCCAGAATCTGAAAATGCAGCATGTATGTGTATATATAATTTTTTTTCTCTGTAACTTAAGTTACAGAGAAAAATCGCTTTCAAATTTTTGATTAAAAGCTATTATCTATTAGCCACTACTTATAAAATGTTCATTGTCTAAATAACAAAAAATATATATATAAAAAATTACCACCACTTTTACTTCAAATTAGGATGGTTGCCACTTTCTAACTATAAGTCTTACCATCTCCAAGTAACTCTAATCAAAACCTGGTTTAGGCCAGCCCATGGCCTGGTGGTTAGTGCAGCTGGACTGCACATGGCTGACCTCACATTTCAAGCCCCAGACCTGGAAGCTTGAGAAACAGAGAAGGGCATGGATGGCATGACCATTCTCCATGGGTAGTGCTTTCTCACTTTCTCTCTCTTCCCCTCTCCTTTCCTCCTTCCCTGGTGAGCACACATGCCCTTTAGCAAATTACAAACAAAACAAAAAACGTCTGGTTCCTATAATTTTTTTAAAAACTCAGTGTTATCTAAACAAGACGACAGATTCACCTGAAAATTGGACATTATGAGCAAACTTTACAAAGATTTAAAAACTGAAAACAAGCATGTAAAATAAATCATTCTAAACAGGGTAAATGGATTTTCCTTTTATGTTGAAAAAGTTCAAAGAGAATGGGAATGAAAAACATTTTTTGCTGGCTTTAGGGTGAGAGAATATTACTTCTACCACTTGTGACTGAAATGCAAAAAAGGGTCAGGCCATACAATGGCCCAGCAGCATCCTGTGCTGCTCTCCAAGGCTGACCCACATGGGAAGGGTCTCGGCTCATGTTCAGTCTGAGTACACTGGGCACCCACACAACCATGATCCAGAGGCTGAAACTGGAACTGGATCACTGGAACACCCTGTTAGGGTGCTGAATCTCTGCCTCTTTCTTTTGCTCATGGAGACAATAAATATATTTTTAATAAAAATAACTTAAAAAGGCAAAAAGTAGTGAAGAGTCCTCTCCCAGAGAGAAAATCATTTTTAAAAATGTTTTCTATAGGGGATAGTCAGAGTTCAAGTATTAGGGCAAAAAGTGTATGCTTGGATCTCAAAATTATACCAAAATAAACTTAGACTTTAATTCTATTTTCCATGAACTTTTTTTTTTTTTTTTAACTTCGCTATAGAGAGCACATGAGCTTGTCAAAGAGACAGAAAGAGGTGTGTGCAACCTTCTGGCCATGCGTGCACATGCACCTGACATGTTTTTCAAGCCACTGGGTCCAGGACTCGAACTATATGGTCGACCAGGTGGGATCTGGCCGCCTTAACAATCATGCATTCCATGGACTTTTTGATGTAATCTCCTATAAACAAAAACTGTGTAGAAAGAAAGGTAACATACTAGCAATCATTTTTATAAAGAGCCATGGGTGAGACCTTAAGTGTTCTGTATTTACACAGCACCCTTTACTCAATGGAAACAAACAAATGGCATCTGTACTGCTCACATACAATGACATTAAGAAGGGTTTAACTAAATTCTCATGTAGCAGAATCCCAAGGTCCATCAAGAAAGACCTTTCTTACACATCAAAGCATACACCTGAATTGCAAAGGGTTTCACATCTGCTGCCTTTGCATAGGGAGAAAAAGATAGATACCCTGTGGTATGTATGTATGTATTTATTATTTTGGGGGGTTAACATACTTTGAGACCTAAACGCCAGGTTCACTTTATGTGCTCACATGATATAGAAGTTGGTATTTATTCGGAGCCCTAAATAAATCACCACGTGAAGAAGTCACCAAGCAGCTTTCCCGGAGCTCCAGGATTCCCAAAACACACTACACTCCAGAAAACTAAACAAGTAAGTTTTCTTTTATTTCTTTTCTCCTCATAAGAATTACTGATTATTACAGACGAAAAGTAGCAAACTATAACTCTAATGCAAGTCACTTCTTTTTCAATATTAAGAAATATTTAAATATATGAAAACTTCATAAACTGTTCCAAAAAGTAACTCTATGTCATTATGTGCCACTTTCTGTTACTTTCAAATTAGCAATGTCACTCAACACAAGAATTTTATCAAATGTAGAGCCTCATTTATGCTAGCTTTCTCATGAGTAACATGATTGCCTTTTTAAAGGTAATTTTCAAAAGAAATTTAACGTGAAAAGAAATCTAACATAATTTATTCATAAAACTTCTTTATGTTCTATTTTCAAATATCTGGCAAAACAGAGATTTAAAAGGTTTAAATCTTTTGTTTTTCTTTCTCACGCTTCTTGTATTTCTTCTCAATCCATTTCTTCCCATAAACTCTTGATCTTAAACTGCACCAGTACTTCCTTCTAAAGATTTCTCACACATGTTCTAACCCAGCAGTTAAGATATATACAAAGAGAGAGAAGAGTGCAGATATCCATTCAGTGAAGAACAGGTTTTTCCTAACCATACAAGGTTCAACTTAATGTGTACTCTAGAGTATTTTTATTTATTCTTTTTGAAACTAATCAAACATACCAAACAACATTACTATGATCATTTTATTTACAGACTGACCATTTCAAAGCATTACAACAGAAAAAGTTGTCAAGCAGACCCACTCTGTAAAAAGGAAACTAATTATTCATCCTTCATGTTATTTGTAAGTAACTTAGATTCTAAGCATTAAACGGGATAAAAGAAACACAAGAATGGAAAATAATATTATCATCTACTAGCTTATAAATGCTAAAATATTTTTTTAAAAGCATTTTAAGCACTTAAACCTATTCTGACCAGTTCATAAACTGTGAGTCTGAGTCTTAACCACCCAATCATCTTACTGCTATGATAGCCTTGGACTGCATAATTAACCACAAACTAGAGCATTTCTCTTGGAAAAGAAAATTTGTAATTACTACCGTACTACCTCTCCACCCAGACGTAGATTGGAAATGAGTCTGTCTGCCACCACCAGAGGCATCAGCAACAATACAAATGGCAAGTTCTACGTGAAAAGGAGTAGCACTATCGCTCCAGCATTTAGGGCTCAAATTACACTGACTCTGGTTTAATGCCTGTTTGGAATCAGAACTTTGGGAGAGTTTATTTGCAAGGTGAGATTCTTTTTTTTTTTTGGAGAGGTTTATGCTATAGGGTGTGTGCGCTTGCCAGAAAGACAGACAGAGACAGAGAGACAGAAAGCGAGACCCCCCCCCCGCCCCCAGGGGGGATCGTCATGCCACAACCCCTTCTCCTCCATTCTCGTCTCGGGATCTTGGGCGGGCACGTGGCCTGGCATGAATTTAAGCCACTGGGTCTGGGACTCAAACCGCAGTCGACTACAAAGGAGTCCACTGACACGGCCATTCCGCCAACTGCTGGTCCCTGCAAGGTGAGATTCTAACAGCTGCTATTTAGCAAGATATAAAAATTAAAGAAAAGCTTACAGTGATTACTAACTAAAGATTTGGTGTTTCAGAATATGTAATCTTTTCCCAAAAAAAGCACTCCAGCAAACAGTGTAAGATATGAAATAGCTTATGTGTGAATCACATAAACTAATAAACTAAGTATTAGACTCTAACAGTCAAGAGTAAATCATATCTGGTATTAAATTTGATATTCATTCTTATAGTCAAAATTTCTTATAATCTCCCACTTTTATTTTTTATCATTTCCCAAAGCACAGATTTATAATTTATTTTATATTAAAAATAAATAAATAAGGCTTTCCTGTACCTTAAAATTTGACTGGTGACATGGTGGTTAAGGGCGCTGGACTCCCACATGACCAACCACGGTTTGAGTCACGGACCTGGCAGCTTGCTTTATGACTTTCCTCCCTCTCTCTCTCTCTCTCTCTCTCTCTTTCTCTCTCTGTCCCTCTTGTCAAATTAAAATAAATGAATAAATGAAGTTAAATAAAATAATTCTAAAAAGTAAAATCGACTAGATCCTGAATTTTAAAACACAAATCTACAATATGTCTTCATTTCATCTTTATCATTTACTTGATATAGAAAAACAGAATTTTACACTCAACTTTTTAGGTATTAAAGTATGGCTATATCAAAAAAGCAAAATAAACTTACCTTCAGAGAATCAACTAAATCATCTACTAAGAATAGACGCCTGAGTTCTTTTATCGTGCAGTTCACATGACCAAGAGCAGAATTACTGTATTTCTGAACCAACTCTTCAGAGATAGCAACTTCAGATTCCAAATATGCCCTAGAAAATAAAACACATCATAACTCTATTTGGAGAGATTTTTCCCTAAATGCCAATCAGCAATTACATATTAAAATGATTTTTAAGAAATAGTCTACTATAAAAGTCTACCATTTCCAAATTAGGCACAGTATAAAAATTCACCAAATAAAGAGTATTTCATTGAAATGCACTGTCAGCTGACTAGCATAAAGCAAGCATATACTTTGCTGCCTGACTGATCGCACTCTAGTCTTTTATCTATTTTTTTTAGATGTTTTTGCCTTAGGGCACATGCACTCACCAAGGAGAGATAAAGACAGTGAGAAAGAGTGAGAAATCTCCCCCGTAGGCAGCATGGCCATGCTGCAGTCCCTTCTCCTCCATTCTCCTTCCAGGATTTTGGGCACACACACGTCCCAGCTTGAGTTTTAAGCCACCAGGTCTGGCCTTGAACCATGCTTGGCCATGTGGGAGTCTAGTGATGTAACTTGCTACGCCATCTGCTTGTCCCTGAACTTGAATCTTAAGCTTGGCCAGGTCCCTTTGCAAAGTTATTTAGTTTTCATTCTAAAGCTCCAGTATCCTCATCAATAAATTGGAGATTTTCATGATTAAATGAGTAAAATTCTTAACACACAGGGCACAATCAATCAAGAAATGGTAGTTATCACTGGCTTGGGTTTTAAGTTGACATTATGTGGTTTGATGGAAGTTTTCCTAACAAAGACACTAATCACTTCCAAATCCTACATTTTTTCAGCCTAACCTTTAGGAGAAAGTGCCCAATACGTCAAGGGCCAGGCTGTAGGATTCCAGCAAAATATAATCATTTCTGTCCATCTAGATTGTTATTAACTATATGCAGATGGCTAGAAAAAGACAACAACTGAAGGTGAAAGGGCCAAATCTACAGAACTCCAATGAACTGCTTCCTTAGTAACTGTTTCACAGAAGCTGTTTTATCTTGGCAGAGTAAAACCAACTCCAAAGTGTGAGAATTCTCTCTTATCTGTTGGAAAAAGTTCTTTAACCTCCCAATCTCTGTGGATACGTTACTTACAGTAACTCACCAAAACAGCTCTTTTTAAGTGCTCACAATTTATTAGAAAAAAAAATGATATCTGGATACAAGACAATTAGCGAACATTCCAAAGCCACAGTTGGCAATAGTAAATAAATTCTTAGATCAACTAGGATGCTAGGGAAGCCTTCTTCAAAGAGCTAAGTCTCCAGTCAACACAGAAGCAAATAAAAAATATGACAGATTGGGGTTATCTAGGCAATATGAAAACAGACACAAGGACAATAGATGATATGGTGGTTAAGGTGCTAGGCTCCCACATGGGCAACTGCAGTTCGAGTCCTGGACCCAGCAGCTTGAAAATCATGCTGGGCACTTGTGTGTGCATGCCCAAAATCCTGAGAGGAGAAGGGAGAAGGGACTGAAGCATGGCCATCTTCCCTGGGGAGTGATTTCTCACTTTCCCCCATCCATCTGTCTGTGTCTGTCTCTCTCTTTTTCTCTCTCTCTTGCAAGTGCACGTGCCCTATGACAAAAACTGGGGAGTGGGGGGAGAAAGAAAATGGACACAAAACCTTAGGAATAAATGAGGGATGAGACAAAGATATTTGAACTTAATACACTCTATAGTCAACAGATTCCCTGTGTCTAAAAATATGATAAAAGTGCTACTTTGAAAAAAATCAATCTAGGGCCAGCAGGTGGCATGGAGGTTAAGGTAGCTGGATCGCACATGGGTGACAACACAGTTCTAGTCTCAGACCTAGTGGCTTGAAAATAATGTCGGGTGCACATTTACGTATGCCCAAAATCCCAAGAGGAGAACTGGGGAAAAGGGTGGTGGTGTGGCTGGCCATCTCACCTGGGGGTGGGGAGGGGACAGCATGCCTTCTCATTCTCTCTGGCAAGTCCATGTGCCCTATACCAAAATCTCATAAAACCTGTAAGAATTTAAGTCATCTGAGGTAACCAGAAATCCATCTTGTTATAAATGGAGTCCAACCAGCCATCAACAAACCTTTTCAGTAAAGGGCCATGTAAGAAGTATTGTAGGCTTCAAAGTCCTTACTTTCTCACAACTACTAAACTTCGCTATTATAATATGAAACCAGCCAAATGAGTAAGACTGTGTCTGTGTCCCAATAAACTCTGTGAAAGGTTTAAAGTCTCTGTCCGAATTTTCTTGTTTGCATGCAGGTGTCCATGTGCTGCAGCACCATTTGTCTGAAAGTGGGCAGCAGACTGGAGATGGCCATGGCTGTAGTATACTGACTCTGGTCTAGACTGAAGCAGCAATGGGAAACAACTAAATGTAGTCATTTTTCTTTAAATGAGATGAAAACAGATAACATTAAAACCAGGAGCCTGAAATCTAGGGTGTTAACAGTGATAATGAGAAGAATTAGCAAATTTGAAAGAAAAGGTTCATTTAAAGACATGATGGGTTAGTATTGTCAGGGACTGGGTGAGGAGTGACTGCTAATAAGTACAAAGTTTCTGGGACCAGCAGGTGGCGTGGTGGTTAAAGCGCTGGACACTCCCACATGGCTGATCACGGTTCAACTCCTAGACCTGGTGGCTTGGTCTCTGTGTGTGTGTGTGTGTCTAGTCAAATTTAAATAAATGAAATTAAATAAATAATTTTAAAAATAAGTACAAAGTTTCTTTTCAATATGATGAAAATGTTTTGGAATTAAATGGTGATATGTGTACATTTTTTGTATATACTATAAAACACCAAATTTGACAGTATGTGTTTTATCTCAATTTAAATGGTGGAGGTAAAATGTGCAGTGTATGAGGGGAAGGCAGAAGACTTACGGCGAGGTGCCTCAAGTAACACACAGGCATGTAATACTACTTTACTTGTGAAAAAGGAGAGAATGACAGTTGAGAGATAAGCAGGTACTAAAATAAAGTTCTCTAAAAACTAAGGAAATAATAAGAAACTACTGAGTTGTCGAGAACGCCACAACGCATTTTTGCACAGAAAATTATATCATGACTTTCCCAACAACCCAATAAATAGAGAAGGAATGTTACGGTAAGACATATCCATGAGGGAAAGCTGAACAGCAAACACACAAGGGGACTTAAAAAACTTCATGGAGAAATGGTATTGAAGTTTATTTTTGGTGCAAAATGATTCTGAAATCCACAAATAGTTTTTTTATAATATGCCTTTTCCATGAACTTTTTAAAAGGCCCTTTCTAGTACTAGGAATGAAATATCAGCATATGCTATTATCATAAAAAGCAATAAAGAAAATGTAACTCTTGCCAATCCTACCCTTCTATTAAAGTAAAGTTAGGTAACCAATACCTACTTCTAATAAATATTTTTAGTCAGTAAGTATAGAAGTAAGTTAATGATACATAGTCTTGTCTTTTCCATTATGAGCCACTGAAATCACATTTCAGAATTCTCATAAGCATATGCTTTTGGAATACTTTTTAAACAAAAATCTGCAATTATCTTTAAGCAGTTTTTAAAAAATGTGTGCCTGTAACTCTAAAACTAGAAGAATAAAGCCTCAATACTAATCCTGTTTAAACTGTTACCAATGCCATGCCTTGTTTTCCAGACATCTCACCTGAATGGGTGGCCTTCATCTGATTTCTGGATAGCTTGGATCACACCCTTATATATCCTAAAGCTGATAGTCACAGAGAGCAGGGCCAAGGCAATGTAGGCCGTTACACTCACAATGCTGAACACTGTCAAGGAAAGCAGCAGGACTCAGCTGGCACCAAACACCACTCCAGTCTTCTTAATGTCTCTCCAGTAGAGGAGGTCAACAACTAAAAATGGAAAAAGAAGACATCTGAAATTAAAACATTATTTTATCTATTTGGATTTGGCACGTTTGGATTTGCTCCACCTAACAAAAATAAAAAAAAGGCATTATATAAAGTAAAACTCAAACCTAACATGTTACAGACTTTTTTAAGCTGCCCTTTAAAGTCACTCTAAGTTGCATACTGATATACCTATGTCTATTTTTACTCTTCAACCATAAAATATTTTTTATTCAAATGTATTTCCTATATGACCAAATCATTCTGTCTATACAAGTTTATTGAAAGTTCCAACTCAGTACACTCCTAATCTAAAATAGGTGTTTACTTAATCATCTTGAGGGTTTTCATCTTCACACAATGCATGATATAATCAATCGAAAAAATATTAACATACACACTAAAGATATTTCAGTGACACAAAAACGTATTTATCTTTAGAAAATCACTGCTTCTCAAAAAACGTTGAGAAATTAAAACTCAAACTACACATGAGCTTTTTAACTCTTTTAAGATTTCTCTCTGAGAACCTTAACAAGATTATAACGTAACCTGGCTACTTACAAAGGAACATTTCCTAAAAGGCAAAAGACAGAGAAAACAGCCTCTCAAATACCTGAAAAGCTACTTCCCTCTAAGAGTAGATGAGTATGTTGCCACAAGAATTTGGAGATCAAAGAAAATAGAAAAACTAAATGTGCTACACTGTAATCTAACATTTATTAATAGTAAGGAATTAGACAAAGCCTAACTTAGAAAGTCTGCTCTTGGCTTATGGTCAAGGGCTACTGTGGGGTCAAATAACCATAGGCCTCTGGTTTCAAGATCAGGTTATACTCAACCAAGAGAACGCTGCAGTGTGCCAAAGGACTCCCGGACTCCTAAGTTAGATTTGACTCATCTCTGGATGCAAACAATTGGAAGAAAAATACATTTTTAAAGTAAAATAAATACGGATATATTTGTGAGTAAAACTTCAAATACCACTTCATTTTTAAGATAAAGGAAACAGCATAAAAGAGAAACCAGATTTTAGGGGCTGCTTTAGTTTTAATCCCTAGGCAACCTAAAGTATGTATGACTTTATTAAGGTTTAGGGTAGTACTTTTGCAGAGAAAACTATGTATGTGAATTGTGAAATGTTAGTGATTAGTCTGAAGCCCTTAATTAGTAATAATTAAAAGACTTTATTTATTTATTCTGAGAGTGATTTTTGCTATAGGGCATGTGCACTCACCAGAGAGACAGAAGAAAGAAAATCACACTCTCACCCCAGGGGGTATGGCCATGCCACAATCCCTTCTTCAATCTCCTCTTGGGATTTTGGGCATGCACACACACACACGCACCTAGCTTGAGTTTTAAGGCAACAAGTTCGGGACTCGATTATGGTCAACTACATGGGAGTTCAGCAACATAACCATTAGGCCATGTGCTGGTCCCGCATTCAGTTATTTTAAATGTCCATTACTTTGTCAGGGACATAGCAGGGACCTTACAAACATTTACAGCATTCTCCTAAATATCATTTGGTTTAAATGCTATTAATTTATTACAGGGTAAATAATCAGTAGGTGAGGTTTATCTCAAATCTGTCTTTATAAATTCTCCTATATAAAGATGTCTGGTTCTCAACGTACTCTCAAACATTTCTAAAGCGCTACTGGTGAGAAGTTAAAATAAATGAAGATGTACTTAACCACTCTTTACTACTATTAAAAACTACTTAGCCGAATGTGAATACAAAGTCAGTGCTTTCAGACTTGAGAGGTATGTACTATACAACATAAATTTATATCTAATCAAATTACCTAATACTGGCTATCAGAAAAGTCATGATGTCCTATTTTCCTATGTTTTTCTATGCAAAAATGTGTCATAACTTTTTCCGAACACTCAATACAATAGTTACTGTCCAAATAGTTTAAATAACTCTGTAAGAATGACTTTTAACTAGTCTCTGATTCCTACATAAATGAACGACAGAAAAGATTATTAGTACTAACTCTGTAGTCAGAACTTAGGATGAGACTCCACTATCTCTGGACTTGAGTTAATTTATTTAGTTTTTTTTTATTTATTTATATTTTTTAATCTGACTGGGGGGGGAGGGGGTCAGAAAACAAGCCACTCTGTTTCTTCAGCTGGGACCTGAACCACGGTCAGTCACGCGTGCATTCAATGTCCCAACCACTGCGCTACCTGCTGGCCCCACCAGTCAACTGACTTTTCCCTTCAGAAACTAACAAGATTCACTGCCAGTACAAATAGCCGTTATAAACTATCATTATGGCAGTTGTAAAAGAGAAGATAAAAATAAGTTTGAAAAGCTACACACTTTTAAAGTCTGACATGTTTTAGAAATGTTTTCCAAATTGCTTATCTACATTCTCCAATCTCCTCGCTTCCTTTAGTTTCCTGAGACAATATTTACTGGGTCTGGAAACTTACATTATGTCAAACACTGAGGCAGGCTTTCACACAAGTGAGACCCAGCTCCTACACAACTGGAGCCAAAATATGGATTTCAACCCATGCTTCCTACTGATAATCAAACTCGTATATTCTCCATTTGTATGATGCCAGATTGAAAGATCAGATTAAAGTTCTTCAAATGTTACAAATTTGCATGCATAATGAATAAGCAGAGTGTAGGCAAATAATAGTACACATGAGAAGAATCACAAACGCCAAAAGACGTCTGTGAAATTAAGATTAGTTCATTAATAATGACATGTAAACTTTAATGTGAGTATTTCCATACAAGACCCCAAAAAAGAAAATTGGACAATCTGTCCAATAGACTGGACAGGTACTTTCCCATAGCAGAAAATTATAATTCCTGTGAGTGTGTTCCCAAATCCTGAGAGGAGAACAGAGAAGGGACTGCAGTATGGCCACCTTTCTCACTTTCTGTCTGTCTCTTCTGCAAGCACACACACCCTGTATAATAAAAATCTCTCTCTCAAAAAAAAAAAAAAAACGAAACAAACATGTCTATATGATAAACAAAGACTGACTGTTATGACTTAATCTCACAAAATTAAATCTACAAAGTCTGACTAGACATGTTTCATACTTGTTTCTTTATTCTTTGGTGCTATCTGAAATTGTCCTACTCCAAAAGCAAGTGTGAATACATTAATAACATAATTAGAAAAAAAATCACCTTTTTATTCCTATTTATTGTCACAAAGAATATTGAATGTGGTTTTCCCAGTAGGCTTTCCTACTGGAAAAAGGAATTCGCTATCTGCTAGCTTAATAAATACTGGGATTCAGCAGACAGCTAGAGTCCCAACACACACAACTAACTTGATAATGCTGGCGCTTTGTCTCAAGTCAAGTCAAGACCCCCCACAGCTGCTGATGCTAGAAACAGCCACATATGCAGTCCAGTAGTAGCCAGTGGTGGGAGCATAAAGTAAAGTAACTATGTGAAAGTGCAGAAGTCCTAGCCTCCTCCTTTCTTTCCTGCTGCCATAGGATTCCTTGGAATAGAATCTTTTCAATGAGTAAAAGATCCCTGAAAATTACATGTGAAAGCCCACATGGCATGAAAACTGCGTAAGCAGCTATATGAGTGAATAACTCAAAGCAGATACCATGACAGATATGTTCAAACCAGCCTAGGGATAGTCTGGTAGGGCCATCAGACCCTTAGAGCAGTAAAGGAGAAAAAGAAAGAAGAACAGCCAAAAGACATGAGGCTATTAGACACTAATAGTCACACCTAATACAAAATGAGTATATCCTAAAGCAGGAAGGTCTGAAAGGCGATCTATACTGCTTTCAAAGTCACTCACTGTACAAAATACAAAAGAACTTCATTTCTTTTTTGAAAAGGAATTTGAGAGACTATCAGTGAACCTTCAAGAATAAGAAATGCTAAGTTTGTAGCAAAGAGAGTTGTCATCTTTAAATAAAGAAAATTTAGGGGGACCAGCAGTTAGCGTAATGGCTATGTCACTGGACTCCCACGTAGTCAACCGCAGTTCGAGTCCCAGACTTAGAGAATGGAGGAAGGAGGAAGAAGAAGATTGTAAGAAGCCTGGGGTAATAAAGCGTTCTAGAGAAGACCTTGTCAGCGTCATCGTTTGAAGCGACACCTGTTGCCTTTGCCTCTCCATGTGAGTTTTGTGTGCTGGAGGCTGAATTATGAATGGGAAGTCTTGATTCCTGTTTCCCCAAAATGACTAGTTTGCAAAATCCATGAAGCTGTCTATATTTGTTATTTTTTAATTTGACCAAGGAGGGAGAGAGAGAGAGAGAGAGAGGAATAGTGAGAAAGCAAGCTGCCAGGTCTGGGACTTGAACTGCAGTTAGCCATGTGGGAGTCCAGGGCCTATTACCACCATGCCACCTGCCAGCCCCAAGGTTGCCATCTTTAACTGACATTTCCCAACAGTATTTTACAGATTCCTTAAAATGGTTTTAATAATAAAAAAAAAAAAAATTTGGTAGATTAATTATACTCAGAATTGGGGACCAGCAGATGACGTAGTAGTTACATCACTGGACTCCCACATAACTGACCACAGTTCAGGCCCTGAACCTGGTGGCTTGAAAATCATGCTGAGCTTGTGTGCATGCCCAAGATCCCGGGAGAAGAATAGAGAAAGGACTGCAGTGTAGCCATCCCCACTGCAGGGAGGCAGGTGGGGTGGGGTGGGGGGCATTCCTCACTTTCCCTCTCACTGTGTTTGTGCCCCCCCCTCTCTGTCTCTCAAGCACACAAGCCCTAAGGCAAAAACTCTTTTTAAAAAAATTATACTCAGGATCATTGATTCTCACTAAGGGGGAAAAGAAAATAAACTTTTATTAAAACCCCTTCTGAGAAAAAGAGTTTCTTGGGAACCAATAGATTGCATAGTGGTTACATTGCTGGACTCCCATGTGACCAAGTGCAGTTTAAGTCCTGTACCCGATGGCTTCAAACTCACAGAAGGAATGTATGCGTGTGTGCCCAGAATCCCAAGAGGAAAGTAGAGGAGAAGGGATTG